CGTGTATTAAAGTAAAATAATATTTTGGATAGAGATTTTAAGCAGGGAATAATGAAATGAAGATATGTGTACACAGGAAATCCTTTGGGTTACTAAATTTAATGATTTTCCATGTGTCTTTAAATGACGAATGATCACATTTCTATTAAGATTAATGATTTAATTAGCATAAATGATACTTCTTTAGAGACTTATTTATCAAATAAATCACAGTCTCAAAAAAGACATGACAACTATTGACTCCAAATTTGCACTGTTGAAAACTTCCACAACGTAGTTTTGTATGACAATTTTAATAGGTTATTAATTATTCCTGTCATTAATTAATTGTGCAATATATCTTCTATACCAAAATTAAATGGTGGTTAGAAAAGTAACATATTATTGTCAAATATGTAGATCGCCTTGAAAAATCCTGCTCAAAAATTCTCTTTGCACATCAGAAAAAAGTTCTGTGATCTCCAGATTTTCAGTTATGTAACAAACTTCGATTTATGCCTCGTAGAGCACTGTCTGGGGAAAATGGCACAGGAGGCAAATCTGGGTTTGAATCTTGGCTGATCACTTTCTAACACTGTGACATGGCCACATCACTGGCTGTCTTTGAAACTCAATGCTCTGATCTTTTAAATAGTAAGAATAATGCTTGTTATAGGGCTGTTCTAAAGTAAAGTGCCTGATTCGTAACAGGTGTTTAGGACGTGATAGTGTTATTATGATTATGATTTCCGCTCCGTCACTATAGTGGGAGGAGCAAGATGATAAATGACGCTCAGATTTCTGAGAATAGCCACTTAATTCTAAGATAAGAAATAGATATATTCGATCTATTTAAATGGCATGTTTTGAAAATACACTATGCTGTCACTGTACACAACCACATGTACACACACACTCTTATTACTATAGAAAAACAGATTTATACCAGTTTGTGATGTACTCTCGTAAAATGTCCAAACCACATTTCATGTGGATACCCTTATATCTTATCTGATATGTACTGCAGTTGCTGATTAGCCATTATTACTACCCCTATTGTCTATCATTAAAAAAGGCTACTTTATATTACCTAAGGTTACTTGTTATTTATGGAACCACCTAAGGTTTTCTGACTCTTCTCTCACTATTTCAGGGTTATTTCTATAAAACACGAATATTTCTAATTATCCACAGAACATAATAACATCTATATATAATACAGATTTATATCTATTTATCAGCATTTATAATCAATTTATAATAGAAATCTATATTACACACAGAATAATCTCTATGTTATTCACAGAACATGGTTAAAAACTTCCTAAGAAAACCACTACTGACTCGTGCCCACCAGGTTCCAGAAATCACTGGTTCATGGCGCCACTTCTGAGTTTTCACTGACGATTCACAGTTCAGAATTTTACGACAAATGGAAACTATCATGAATTTCCTTTCTACTTCTGTGTTTCTTCAAAATAGAATATAATTGCTACTGTATAGGTCTAAATTGCTTTTAAGGTCAAAATTCCATTTTTAATATTGAAACATTGAAAACTTGCTGTGGACTGATGTAGCCCGTAGACTAAACAGATTCAAAGTGTGAAAACTTCAGTGTTCTAGAAGATTTTCAAATCATCTCCAGTGTCATCTCGCCTTGGAGACGGGAATTACCTAACAGTCAGTTGACTTGTCATGAACTAAATCTTGTTCCGTGTCACGGGTTTGAATTAACAGGTCCCCCAAAGTCCTACAAATTCACAGGACTCTACAAAAGGATGTGGATGATATTCTGAAAAGCCATCATTGTTACTGGAGATAAGAAAACACTCCACGCAATGTATTTCATTGATGATATGGCTATTTCTAGTGTTGTGCTCAAAAATTACCATATTTGTTTGAAATAAAGAAAGTTCAAAAAAATTCTGAAATAATTTGTGTGAAGAGAGAAAATGTAAGAAGAATCAGAAATAATTCAGGTGGTGATTCATCAAGAGTCGGTTACTCTTTGTAGTGTATTAATTTAGGTGTGAAGTTCAAATATCATGTAATGTGTGATCCATTCGTATACTGATGCCACAGTCCCTTAGAAAATTATATTCTCAATAGGTGTAATTTTGATACATTCATTAAAATTGAACATCAAATTTTTAGCTGTTCTGAAAACCTGACATTTTAAATCATGATTGACAAGACCAGGGCTTTACATCAACTATCGCCACGTACCATACCCTGAAATAAGAAATCTAAGAAATAACCCTGGGAATTAACATGATATAGATAATATAGCTAATGACTTTAAAAGCAACAAAAATTCATAATATTCATTTATATCTTCATAATGTCTAAAGATTGTCTAAAGCCAACAAATATACAGGCATACAAAATAGTTTGAGGTTAGGCTCTGTATTTTATAACGAACTAGAAAATTAAAAGCTTAACGTGGAGTAAGATTTTGATTAACGAAATTTTAGTGTCCGCCTCAAGCTGCCCTAAAATTCTGAATTAAACATGGCTCCTGGAAGTGGATCAGATGTGTTTCTTTAGGAAGTTGTTTCTAATTCTGAAACTGCATATGCGCAGGCAAAGTGATGGCCAACGTAAGGGTTGCCATGGTAAGTACACATCTCTTCCTGGAAAAAAAAATTTTTTTAAGTGTATGAAGAATTGTCACTTCCAAATATGTCACGAAAATTGACTTCGCTTTCGTTACCACCACGTAGAGGTATGATGCAATGTGGCACCGCACAGAAATAGCTCACATTTTAAAAACTCGAGCCCATGCGATAAAAAACATGAAGTGAAAAATAAAGTCTCCAAGTGAGAGAACTCTAAATACTGGGCTGGGAACAAGTTCCGTCTTCATTAAATTAATAAATAATATGAACTCAGGGAATCCCAAAGGCCTTAAGAAAGCAGAGAATTCCACGTGGAATCACTGAATACTCCCCCCACCCCCCAACATACTTCAGTGTTATAAGTCTTAAGGAAAAACAAAATCATTCCTGCTCACTCTTCACCCTGTACCATCAGTGGTTTCGAAGAAGCAGGGACTTGTCTACTGTACTGTCTTCTGCAAAAAGCTCTCCCGGTGGTTCCCCCAGAGCTGGCTTCCTGACGCCTGGATGGAGGCGTGACACTCGGACGGGAGGTGGTGTAATCTGCTGCGAATCGCAGCCGCTCTGAGGCGCTGGAAAACCCACGTGTGCAGGGGCTGACGAACTTTTCCTCCTCGTCTACCAGGTGAAATACCTTATTTTAAAACAGGGGGATGGCTGGAGCCACGGGCGGGGTGGAGAGCGCGGGCGGTACAAAATACTCGCAGGGGAGGAGGATCCCAGCCCTTCACCCGCACCCCTCCACCTGTGCTCGTCTCCCCTGCCTTCCAGCCGCCTCCGGTGAACTTCATGATTTTTTCCCTTTTATAGGAGGTCTTAAGCAACCGGTATGCCGAGCATCTCATAGGCTCAGGCTGGAACAAAGAAAATCGAGTTCCTAACACTGTATCTCTCCGGTTGGAGGATCACGTGTTCTGCTTTCGCTGGAATGCACGCTCCTCGCCCACGCTGTAAAATCTCTATTGTGCTTCGAAATTTACCCAGATTAAAATATGCTCATATAAATTGCTTTCCACCCACCAGGGGAGCGACATTTCAACATATACAGGTACACATATCCGCGTATTTACCTGCCGACCTAGTAACCACGGCAGGTGCATTCGGTGGGTGGAAAGTGTATAGGAAAAGTCACAGGAAAGAACAGGCGGAGGGCCCGAGCCTCACCGATTCCCAGCCCCACCCCTTTGCTTTTTAAATTCCTTTTGAAGGAGAACTTCGAAAGGAACGTGGGAGTCTCAGATGGTTCTTTTCTGAAGCCCATTTCGGGAGTTGTGAAAGTGACCCCTTCCTTTCTCTGCGCCCCCCCACTTTCCCCCCACCTGCTCGCTTTGTGACTTGGTGGGAAGAGGAGGAGGGAGGAGGAGGAGAGGGCGGAGGCGGGTCCTTTATTCAGCCTGATGGCCGAGAAGTAGTGTAATGAAGCATTTTGCAGCCACCTCCGTTATTATGAAGTCACCCTGTTTTAAAAGGCAATCTGCACAACCCCCGCCCCCGCCCCGTTCTTGACCCTGCACACAGTAAGACTAGAGACCTCTGGAAGCCAATCTAGTCGCCTGTAAGCCCAGGTGCCATGATTATCCTGATGCTAATGTGCTTCCCTCCCTCTTTCCACGTAGGACCCGAATCACGTCCTGCATCGTTAATGATGGGCAGAGGGGGACGCAAGACGCTGAAGGGGCCCAGAGCTGGACAGGGAACAGGCAGGTTCCCCGGCGTCTCGGGCCACACAAAGGAGCCGTGTGGGCAGGAGTTTGGGGGTTAGAGGAGGGCGGCGTTCTCCCTGACTCCCGGGCACAGCTCTCTCTCCACCTCTCCCCCACTTCTTCCCGTCCTCCAGTCTTTCATGCTCCTTCGTCCCCTCCATCCCCCCAAACCCCACCCTTTCTCTTCAATCCCAATGACATAAAAAAAATTTTTTTTTCAAAAAAATCGACATCCAGACAGCAATGCAACACCTTCCAGGATAGAGACAAGTGCTCCCTGCCACAAGTGTGTGAGTGTGTGTGTCACGGCCAGACACGCGCTTCGTCCCCGAGATTCCTCCGGGGAATGCTGGCTGTGGCTACCTGAGATAACGAGGGGAGCTAAACCCGCTCGCAGCTGGACCCGCGGTCCAGCTCCAGCCCAGCACTCGCTCTCCGCCTCCCTTTTCGCAGTATGTAACCCTTTAGGGTCTCCGGCCGGCTCAGGCCACTCGGTGTTCCCAGGCACCCGCCCAGCAAGCACCCCACTTCCAAACGCCCCGCAACCTACCGCGTCGCCGCCGCCTCCGCGGGCCACCGCAAGCGCAGCTCCCGGCAAAGCGCCGACGCCTCCAGCCCTCCCGCCCCCGCCCCGCGGCTCCCACACCACGCGTGCCCGCGGTCACAGGCGCGAGGCCCGGAGCGAGCGCGCCCTACTCACATCGCCGGCGGTGGGGACTGCCCATGAGGTGCTGGAGCCTGCTCGCCTGCAGCTGCCAACGGTTATTCCTTAAAGCGTTCGGGTCCGCAGTGGAGTGGGCGCGGGGGTCCGTGGAGGAGAGGACGAGGGAAGGGCTAGCAGGCAGGAGGAGCAGGAGAAGGGGGAATCCAGGCAAGTGCCGCGCTAGACCATGGTGCCGGTGCCCTTCAGGTGGACCGCTGGAGAGCTTCCCGCGGGAAGCCGCCGAGGGGAAGCCCGAGCGCCGGCGGGGAAGGCAGGAGCGCGTCCAGTCCCCAGCCTCCGCCTGCCCTGCGCCGCGCTAACGACCGCAGCGGCGGCGGCGGCGGCGGTGGAGGCGCAGCTCTCTCCCCACCCCCGGCAGGCTCCACAGACAATAAATCCTGGGCGGAGAAGAGGCGAGCAGGAAAGGCGAATCGTGCACCCAACTCCGTTAGCAGCCCCTGCCGGCTGCCGCTGCTCTGCCGGGCGAGGATCCCAGGGGACTGGGGCGCAGCGGACGGCTCGGAGGGGCAGAGCGCTCGCGGGGCTGCGGGCGGCGGCGGTGGCCCGAGGAGGAGGCTGCAGGCTCCACCGGCCAGAACCTGCTGCCCGGGGGCTGGATGTCCGTGGCTTCAAGCCTGGGGTTCGCCCCGAGTGGGGTCTTCCTCGGTGCAGCGGCTCCGCGCACAGGTGCCAGGATTGGCAGGCGAGGAGGCGCCGCTCATGGCTCTTGGCGGTGTCTCCCCGCTCTCCCCGCCCCCTCGCTTTTTTCCCACCCCCTTTTCCGACGACACCAGCTGCAGTTGCTTCAAAGTGTGAAAAATGTCAAGGAGATTTTCCAATGATAGGAGGGGGTGACCATGTTCGCAGTCCTCCGCCCCCTCACGAAATCCTCTCTCGCCCCTCTGACCTCTACTCGGACTCTCCCGGATTCCGAGAAGAAGAATCCCGGTCCGGCGGGGAATGGAAATGCCAGCCTTCTCCGGCAGCGCCAGCGCAGGCTGCTTCCCCGGCAGCAGGACGCCCGGCCGAGCTCCCCGGGTTTCTCTGGCTGCCCGCGCTGCGGCGCGCGAGGCGGGCGGCACGAGGCCGGCGCCGGGCAGCG